CTTTGTAACAACTGTATTTTTTAAGCTATCAATTTATAAAAATTATTAAAGTAATTATTTTTATAGGCAAAGTGACAGTTTTAATTTTGGAAGATTATAATGTATTTTTTTAATAATAATTACCAGAACTTCTGATTCTGTTTCATTGGGCAACTGAGAAGTTTTGATTGATTTTTTCTGCGTTATTCTTTTTTGCTCCTGGATTACCCAAACAGTCATTAAAAAATTAGATTCTTAGTTGTTTTTGTGGTTACACATACTGCCAGCTGTTCAATAATGAATCATTTGTTTGTTGAAAAGACTTTACGACTCTCACCAAAATTTTTCAAACTGCTTACAGTCAAGAGGTAAGAAGTTTGGTAGATTATGCTTGTTGCAGGCCTCTTTACTTCAGAAGTGGTCAACTTTAGCAGCACTGGAATAATGCTTAGTTTGGCATTTCTTAAGATTTATTTGCAAAATTTTTACAATGAATGTTTTACAAGCGGTATAGTACATTATAGTTGATATTTCATGAAATTTCTGCACCACTGGGTGACTGACAGTTCAGACAGTGATAAAGTTTATTTATTTCTAAAAAACAGCATTATGCTGAGCTTTAAAAGCAGTTTATTTATAAAAGAAAACAGTATTTGTTGAAAGTTTTGGTAAAGAATTGAGCAAAAAGATTTCTTCTTACAAAAAAAACAACAAACGATGCTTACATTAGTAGTCAGTTCTAGTTTTTATAAATATAACAAAAAAAGAAATAACTATTATGCTGTTTATTAGGAGAAAATTTATGCGAAGAATTGAATAATTTTTTTTTTTTTGAATACTCTGCAACCAATTCTCAACAAATTGTAACATATTTGATTATTCTCTTAACAGAATATACTAACTTCAGATTTGTCTTAGGCAAAACGTTGAACAGAATCTGTTGTGCTGAAAAATCAAAAGTTCACAGTTTTTTTTTTTTTGGTGAATCTGAAAATAATGCTTACAACTAAAATACAAATAGATTATTATTTTTTTTTTTATTTTCAGCTACTAATGTTTTTAGAAAAAATTCAAAATTATTTTGAGATGTTGTAATGTAGAGGAATTTTTGCATATAGAAAAATTAACAATACCAAAAAAAAAAATTCTTAGATTTTTTTGACAAATATACTGTAATCAATTTGCATTTTTCCTTCTTCTTCTACTTTTTTTCTTAAAATACTTGAAATTTTCAACTTAAAATCCTTATGATTTGCTGTGTCACTGTCATTTGCAAAAACAAATTAAAAAATTTGGAATACTGCTTACTTATAGTCTAAATTTTGGTTATATTTTAAGGTGATTCTTAAGGCAGTGCATATCAGATAAGCATTTTATCGAAAAACCAGAAAAATTTTCATTTTATATACTTACAGCTCTGTTTACTACTATTCTCATTGTGATAGCAGTAATTATTTTTGACAATACGATAAAATTGGTTCTGGATATCTTAAAAATATGTTGAAAAAGTTGAAACTTTTTTCAATCTAGCTTAATTGACCGAATTAGAATTAGAGCGAAACAATAACATGGTATGAAAACACATACACATAGACTGTACTAATCTATAATTCAGAATAAGAACTGCGCAACAGGTTATAGCTAAAAATGGAGAAAACGTATA